CATACTATAAAGTTTGGAAGTATGCGGTTTTGGATGCAGCCCATGTCTTTTTTTTTTTGAGAAACCTAACTACTAAGGCTAATCCTACAATATACTGGTTTATCCAACAAGATCTCTCAAGAATAGCATCTACAAACAACAGCAAGTGGAAAGTCATAAACTTGTCCCTCAAGAAGCTTCCTGTTTCAGTAGGAAGTGCATCAGCATAAAATTCAACCACCAGAGCTTTCCTGTTATGAATTCAGATGGGCTGCACATCTGATCACTAATAGCACAGACACGCACTTACACACACTTTTGGTTCTGCTGGATTAGAGAATATGGCAGCAAAATCCGTCATGCTCTAAATCAACAGCACATCTCATTTCTGCAGGAACGGAAGGAATCTTGTGGCTTTTTTGTCAAAGAGAGACAAGCGTGGGCTGCGATGAAGCGCTGAGCGACTGAGCTCTTGTTTTTGCCATTGCTGAAGTCCTGAAGCTACTGAAAACACACACACACACACACACACACACACACGCATACACACACACAAACACACACACATACACACACACACTGATCTTGAACGCATGTTGTCTTGAAGAGCACAGATCCTCCTCTTACCTTCAGCGTGCTCCTCTGAGTGAGTGTGTGTGTGTGTGTGTGCTGAAAAGTCTTCACATCCTCATGCTGGAGTGTGTAGAAGTTCTGCAGAACTCAGACTGGTCTCGCAGCTCGTGGTTCCTCATCCGTCATTCCAGACGCTGCTCAGCTCAAACCCAGAGAAAGACGACCGGCAGTGTGCTGATCCTCCCTCTGCGCTGTTCCCAAGAGCCTCCCTCCCTCTGTCCCGCTCACACACTCACACACACACACACACTCCTGAGGATGGGGGATGGGAGAGCCAGGAACAATACCAGCAGATGCCTTTACACACACACACACACACACACACACACACACACACACACACACACACACACACACACACACACACACACAAACACTGACAAAACTCTGAATGAGAGATTAAACACAAACTCTGCTCAGACAGGAGTGTGGTCATAAAGCTGTCATCAAACTAAACACACACACACACACACACACACACACACACTCATGAAGTTAAACACAGTTAGGAAACACTGCACACGTCTGCAGGAAAGAAGAGCTCAAATGCACTCTGAGACGCCTGAAGGTGTTTCTCTGAGACAGCACTGAGATCAGGAGCGCTCTCACGTGAGTCGCAGATGGAGATCAACATCAAGATGTGTTAAAGACGTCTCAAACTGTCTCCATGTGAACGCAAACATCCTCAGAGGATATACATGTGGCTGTACTTCTCCTCTAGTATAAGCTAGTGTGCTTCAGCTTCTGGAGTGAGCACATGCAGACGTGTGTACTGACACACAGGGCAGAGCCGCTCAGCGGAGAGTGTGTGTGACCGCAGTGTGTCTGCACTTCAGCTATGGGCTCTTTGGTTCCTGTTATCGGTGCCGTCCGCTCAGTGTTGGCATCACACAGGCAGAGCTGAGATTGTCTTGATTGTGCTGTGTGTAACCCAACACTCTGGGTCACATGAGCTCCGGCCAGACACTTGAAGACTGCCGTTGATTGGTCTTCTGCAGGCAGAGGAATGCTGCGTTACATAACAGGCCTTTGTGTGTGGTGGTCTGTGGTTCTGGTTAATGAACACAGCGAGCGTGAGGGATCGGCTGCTGCAACAGCATTTACTCCCACATCTCTGATTTCCTGCTGAAGTGTGTGTAGTAATGCCGGTGTGTGTTTGTGAATGAGCAGCTCAGCTTCTGTGCATGACACACCGCCTACAGGACAGCAGGCTTTACTACAGATGATGGAGCTCTGCTGTGCAGGCCGAGACACGTCTCAAGAATTCACAGTCGCCATGAAACTGAAGATAAGAGTGTCCCTTTATCTGCTTTCGTCACATACATCCAATTAAACTGTCCTGAAATGAGGAAAGCATGTGAGGCAGCGCTGATTTAGTCCTTTGGAAGCTATCTGGATAATTGGAAGATGAGCACTGCTAACTGTGAGACAGAATGACGAATGAATGAAACCAGAGCAAAAACAAGATGTGCACCGATAGCCCCGCCCTAAAAGACTAATAGCCCCGCCCTAAAGGACTGACAATTCCGCCCTTGAAGACTGACAATCCCGCCCTTAAAGGACTGACAATCCCGCCCTAAAAGACTGATAATCCCGCCCTAAAGGACTGATAATCCCGCCCTTAAAGGACTGACAATCCCGCCCTAAAAGACTGATAATCCCGCCCTTAAAGGACTGACAATCCCGCCCTAAAAGACTGATAATCCCGCCCTTAAAGGACTGACAATCCCACCCTAAAGGACTGACAATCCCGCCCTTAAAGGACTGACAATCCCACCCTAAAGGACTGACAATCCCGCCCTTAAAGGACTGACAATCCCACCCTAAAGGACTGACAATCCCGCCCTTAAAGGACTGACAATCCCGCCCTAAAAGACTGATAATCCCGCCCTTAAAGGACTGACAATCCCGCCCTAAAGGACTGACAATCCCGCCCTAAAAGACTGACAATCCCGCCCTAAAGGACTGACAATCCCGCCCTAAAAGACTGACAATCCCGCCCTAAAGGACTGACAATCCCGCCCTTAAAGGACTGACAATCCCGCCCTAAAGGACTGACAATCCCGCCCTAAATGACTCATAGCCCCATCCTAATGTACTGATAACCCCGCCCTAAAAGACTGATAGCCCCACCCTAGACCAGACATGAAGAACGGTTGTTTCGAGGGGTCTTTAGTTAAAGATAATGAGGGCAAATGAATTTTTCGGCAATAATAAAGAGCACAGAGACATCGTTTATAATAAGAACTGCTATTGTACACACTAAAATAAGAGCAGCAAATTTTGATTTCACGCTAACTTTAAAACACTGCAATAAACATAGATGTTAATAAACTCACGAGGGCAGCACGAACACTACATTAGTGTTTATAATTTTATTAGACCCCTCCTCAAACACACGTCAAATTTTGAATGCCAGTGTATACTGTGTAGAGTGTGTGCAGCAGGTCTGGTGTAGCCTTCGCTCAGTCACAGACCCTGACCCACACCTTTCAATAAATCTAACCACACTCAATATGGAGAGCAAGATCTGTGATTGGCTGGCTTAGTATAGTTGAGTGTGGGTGGGGCTGGAGATGTGGGGGCGGAGCGAGATCTGTGGCATGACTGTTTATTCCCATAGAGGAGTACTGTATGCAGGCGTTCGCTAAAGTCCCTTTCAAGCAATTCTGTTCACTCGGCGGCCATATTTGCAACACTCCTGGGGCAAGAGCAATAGACCAAAGCCTATGTATATCTGTAGTCTTTGCTAGTGTTTGTTGTATAGTTATAACTCCCGCCTCTTTCTTCCCTGAATGAGTGTGAATTTACGTTCATTTCCAACGTAAACACAAAATAAGTGAAAGCACACTGCCTACTAGTGCTTCAGAAGTGTCACTGCAGGAGTAGAACTGGTGATGGCTTTGCTGTAGGGCACACCGATCTCTCAGTGCTGAAGTATAAAGTGGGCTTCATTCCCAGTAAGAGTTGCTCAACACCGCTTCACTGCACATTTACGGGATGTTTGGGATGAATCATCTGGCCTGTTGAGACGCTGTGCGGTGCTTCATCATCACTGCACTTTGAGCCCCACAGGAGAGTTCATCCACCTCTCTTATCACTGATGGACTCATCCGGCACACTTCTCTACACTGAGGAAGGTTGTGTGAACATTGTGTTGAGGCTGTATATCAGCTTGTCACCGCGGTAAAACCATTAAAGACACTCTGGGGTTTATTTACCACTGAAAGGTGTCATATATGCGCATTACAGCACCGCTGGCATGTTTGTAATAAATGTATAAGTTTTGTTACGCTACGCCTCACGTCACGCCACACTTCTCCTGCATCTTCCTAACTCAACCTGTGCATTTAGAACTGAAGCTCAGACCTTTGAAAACAGAGACATGGCCCTGACCAGAGCCCTAATCATGTGACCATTACACAACCAGTAGATGGGCAGTATGGATGCAGGCAAAATAAGAGCGTGAGTAGTCACTTATCATGTGTTTTACTTTATATAGTTTGGGCAAAGATCTTTTTCTGAAACTATTCAAGCTGTTCAAACACACCTGCATTACCTGTATCTCTGTAATACTCTGATAGAGAAGCCGGACTGGACACCAGTGCTGGAGTAATGCATTACAGGTACCACAAGTTACCTAACTAGATCACCTTTTTCAAGTAAGTAGTAAAGCAAAGTGTTTCTGTTCATTTTATAGAAAATAAACAATAATAAGAACACAAGATGCTTTATTTATTCATTTATTGACTGATGGTCTTGTGTTGAGAGAGATGCGGATGTGATTGCTGTGTGGAAATATGAGGCGTGCTGTACAGTTCTGCTCAATATGATCATGTATTTACTCGTCTGACTGCACATTCACAAAGCTTTAAAGTGAATGAAAACTTTGAATGCAAGCATTTCTGAGTGTGTGTTTTCTTGCATCCTGATCCTCAGGTGATCCAGAAAGGTTTGTTTGAGTATTTACTTCACATTTCACTCATTCTGGAGTAAAAGAGCCTGACATCTGTCAGAAATAGAAGATGACACCAACACGTAATGCAAGAGGAGCATAACTCATTCTTTTCCTAAACAAGTGAATGAGTAGTACACTGCTGCAGGAGTACCGCAGGACATGGACTTCCCCAACACAGCGTGCAATAGTGCTGCAATAAAGGTTCATTTGTAGATGTATAATGTTCATTTCATGAGTAGTCCCTTACAGAAATAAACCTCGGCTTTGTGATTGTAAAATTATAATAACCATGTGTTTGTTGCATTGACTTCCAATTGTATAACCACAGTTTTACTAGAATCGCCATGGTGAAACTATAGATAGATTTGCCCATAGTCCATTTGTGGTTCCCATGGTCGACTATGCAACAGCAGCCATGGTATTTATGGTAAAACCTGGTTAAACAAATGGAATCACACGTCTGCACAGCTAAAGCGGAAGCTGATTAAGGGCTCTAAACAGTTTGACTGTTCAATGAAAGCACTAAGCGGTCCCGGTGGAGCATCCTATGGGTGCTGGCCATTCCTTACCCACAACTCTTCCCGATTCATTTCCATTCGCAAACTGAAAAGCAGCCTGAAACTTCACATTGGTGCACTTCGTGACCTTGCACTCGATAGATGCCGTGCCTTTAAGTTCCTGCACTGAGCATTGGATCGACCCTTCATCAACAGAGATCATCTCTGGAGAGTTTGAGCTGGAGTTTCTGGAGCAGACCAGCTGCTCCCTATCCACAGACCTCAGATTGTGTCCTTGGATTAACTCAGGAGCTTCACAGGAGACCCTGGACAGATCCTTCACGTGTTTGTGGTTGTACTTCAGCCAGTCATAGAAGTAGTGTATCCCACAGTCACAGCTCCAGGGGTTCCCGCGCAGCTCAAACACACACTGGAAGTCCAGATCCTCAAAGAAGCCGCTCGGGATGCTCCGTAAGCTGTTGTTGGACAGGTCGAGCAGCTGCAGGTCGTGCTGGTCCTTCAGGAGATGCGCATCCACAGAAATCAGACTGTTCTTCTGCAGATACACAGATTTAATACTGAACAACCCTTTAAAGACAGATCCGGCCAGCGTGGAAATCCGGTTCTCAGACAGATCGAGTGTTTCCAGTGAGATCAGATTCTGGAAGAGATCCGCCGGGACTTCAGTGAGTGAATTCTGAGATAGGTCCAGATAAGTGATGTAGTGTAGTGTGTGAAAGACAGCATTGGTCAGCTTCTCCAGCAAGTTCTTCTTGAGGATTAGTGTCTTCAATGATGCTGGGAAGGACCCGGGGGTCAGCACCCGGATGAGGTTGCTCCGCAGGTTCAGCTCCTGCAGGTGATCCAGATGTGTGAAGATGCCGTCCGGCAGGTTTGGGATCTTGTTGGCCTGCAGCGACAGCACTCTGAGCTCAGAGTTGTTCTGGAAAAGCTCAGTGGAGAGCGAGCTGATCTGGTTGAAGGACAGGTCCAGCTCCTGCAGACGATGGAGCCGCTGGAACAGCCGACCGGAGAGGAAAGACAAGCCGTTCCCTCTGAGCTGCAGCATCTCCAGCTGGTGCAGAGAGTGGAACAGACCCGCGTCCACACCGCTCAGCTTATTATTGTTGAGCAGGAGTCGGGTCAGATTGGTCAGCGAGCTGAAGGTCTGAATATCGAGGCTCATCCAGCAGATGTTCCCGCTGATCTCCAGCTCCCGCAGCTCTACCAGACGCTCGAAGGCCTCGCCGGACACACTTTTCAACATGCCGTTCAGAAACACCAGCTTCGAGAGTCTGAGGGTCTCCGGAAACGACTGCTGGTCCAGATCTGGGATCCCCGAGGCCACCACGATCAGCTCTCGCACCTGCGTGGAGATGTTCACAGGTAAACTCTTCATCCTGTCATCAGAACAGACCAGTTTGGAGCCGGAGAAGCACTGGCAGGGCTCAGGACAGCAGACGCCACAGTACAGATGGATCAGGACCAGCAGAACCACAGCGCACAGATTACTCATGTCTCCTGGAGGAAAGAAAATCACCTTCAGTCATTGTGTTGATCATCGTCTCTGCTGAAACAGAATCTCTCACATGTTAGGGATAAAGCACATCAGCAGGTTGTTATCCCAGAATAAAGCCAGCAGCCCGGTGTGAAGCGCAGCTCGGTTCTATTGACCTTACTCTTCAGACTCGAGCAGGCGCAGCTATTGGAATCTGTTTGGCTTCAGACTTCCGCTCTCTTTCACTTCCATTGATGTTTAGAGGTTAATAACAGCCTGTTATTCTGCTGGATGCTACAAACTGATAAGGTCAGTAAGACTGAAGGGTTTATTCTGAGATAACAACCTTGCTGGATGTACTTTATCCTGCTTATTACATGGATACTTGCAATAAGATGTAAAAAATAGTCACAAGCATTATTCTGAGTCATAATAGTTCATTAGTTCTTTAATTTAAAGCAAAGCTGACAGAAACTAAAACAGCTGAATGGATTATACACTAACCTGCGCATTATTCAGACACTAGAGGGCACTGATGTGGACAATGTGAATATGAATGTGGGTGTACGTATATGGATGTAAATATATTCTCAGATCCAGTTCCCAGACGAGTCTGTGTTATTCAGAATTGTTGTCTGGGAATAACAGCCCTTGGACTGTCCTGACTAATCCATCAGAATCAGGTTTTATAGTAATTTTGAGCAATAAGTGTGTTTGTAATAAGCACATGTAAAGCAATAGGACATCCAATGGTAATCAATAGTGTCCAATCAATAGTGTTTGTTGTTCCTATCATGTCAGTAGCTGAGCATGAAGTGTTTTCATTCTGAAAAGCCTCAAAAAACAAGCCTATTTGCCACTGACTGAAACTCCAGCTGAATGCCCTGTTGCTGCAGTTGAGCAATACTGTGTAACGCTTATTGGAACATTTCAGTATATTCAGACTGAAGATATCCTACACAGGGTTTAGTTCATCATACTCGACTGAGGTTAATGCTAATTCATTTTTATTATACATGAATAATCTCCAGAAAGTGCAAATAACAGTTCAGTAAATCTATTATAATGGTTGAAAGAAAGCCTAAGACAGTGAAGACAGTGTGTTTTACGTACCGCAGTGTTGTGCACATCCAGCTCAGTTCAGCAGAAATCCTCAAACTCACTGCAGTTTCAGAGAAACCCCATGAGCAAACAGACACTCATTGGTCAGACACTATCTGCACATCGCTCAGCGTTTAGTGCACGAGTGCAGGAATATCCAACAAACAACTGCTGCACACAATCACTCATGTCTGAGAGTAATTCTTGATTTAGTTAAACATTAGTGATGAACTCTCCTGAATGCAGGGGGTGAGAGAATGTTTGGCTGTTGTGTACAGTATTGACGGACTCCTGCAGACTCTGATCTGCTTTACTGCGGTGAACAGTATTGACATTTCTGAAATCCATATCAGCTAAAACACATCAAGAAAAGCACAAACTGTGAACGTTTAACAGCAACGCCATCACATATACTGCAAAACAAACATTGCTTTACTCAGAGTGATTCTAGTCTAAATATCTGAAAACTCTGAAATCAAGAAGCATTTTCTAGACAAGCTAAACTAGTGTTGTGTTCAGAGATAATGAAGAGAGTTTCTCTTTAATACGAGCAAACCTGCCAGTGTGGTAACAGAAACAGCTTGTGTTTGTTTTGAAGTAAGAGTGTTCTGCTCACCGCGCGGGCGGATATCTCAGCAGGTTCTCGTTTACCTCATTATTCAGACCATCTTCTTCTGTGATCAACTGGACAAACTCAGATCCTACTGAAAGTGAAAATCCCTCTGGATGTTGATCCGCTGAGCTCCTGAAGCAGTCTGACCAGCATATAATGATGGGTGAGTGAGTGGATGATCGTGTGTAGCGTTCAGGATAGTATATTATACTCATTTACAGTGAATACTGAAGTGTTCATACTCTATATACATATGAACTGTGTAAAGCCCTGGTCAGATCACTGGAGTGATACTGTCGATTACAGAAGTGCCCATGTCAGATTATGTGATTTTGTCTTGATAAAGTCTTGCCTTGTCTTGGGTAACAGATGTGCTAGACTACACGTTCCTTCATGTTCAGTCATCCCGTGACGGGAAATATTTCCTGAAGCAGTCACAAGTGCTGCGATAACCATATTTCTCATCTCAATATCAATGTTGTAATCTTATTTCAGTCTCAGTAAACACTGGAGCTTGCAGACCACTGATAACTACATCACTGAAGGACATTCCTCATGGCATGGGCAAGATCAAACTCATGATTCCTTTAATATTAAGATAATTTCTTTGAGATCTAAATTTATATTTTCCTGCAGGGCTGCTTAAACACTCACTCGCCTGAACTCGCCACCAGTGAGATGGAGAAAATGAAAGTACATCAGCACTGAGGATCAATCACAGATCAATCACTGAAGCTGTTGTGTTACCATAGCGACTGTAGAATCACCACAACAGTGTTACCATAGCGACTGTAGAATTACCACAACAGTGTTACCATAGCGACTGTAGAATCACCACAACAGTGTTACCATAGTGACTGTAGAATCACCACAACAGATCAGTTACTGTAGTTGTTGTGTTACCATAGCGACTGTAGAATCACCACAACAGTGTTACCATAGCGACTGTAGAATTACCACAACAGTGTTACCATAGCGACTGTAGAATCACCACAACAGTGTTACCATAGCAACTGTAGAATCACCACAACAGATCAGTTACTGTAGTTGTTGTGTTACCATAGCAACTGTAGAATCGCCACAAAAGATCAGTTACTGTAGTTGTTGTTACCATAGCAACTGTAGAATCACCACAACGGATCAGTTACTGTAGTTGTTGTGTTACCATAGCAACTGTAGAATTGCCACAACAGTGTTACCATAGCGACTGTAGAATTACCACAACAGTGTTACCATAGCAACTGTAGAATCGCCACAACGGATCAGTTACTGTAGTTGTTGTTACCATAGCAACTGTAGAATTACCACAACAGATCAGTTACTGCACTTGTTGTGTTACCATAGCGACTGTATAATTAAATTCAGATACTCCACTATCGTGTGCTTCAGAAAGTCTGCAGTGTTGAGTAAGCATTACTGTAGTGTTTTCTGTGTAGTGTGTAGAGTGCAGTGGGTGTGGTGTCGTGCAGGAGGCGTGTCCTCCAGGTGTGTGTGTGTGTGATGTTCTGTCCTCAGCAGCAGCAGTGTTCAGTGTTCTCTCAGTTCCTCCTCCAGCTCTCTCCTGATGGCGCACGCAGGGCTGCAGATGCTGGGTTACTGTCTGGGTTTTCTGGGTCTGCTGGGTCTGATCGCCTCCACAGCCATGGCGGAGTGGAAGATGTCCTCGTACGCCGGAGACAACATCATCACAGCACAGGCGCAGTATGAGGGACTGTGGCAGTCCTGTGTGTCGCAGAGCACCGGCCAGCTGCAGTGCAAAAAATACGACTCCCTGCTGAAGCTGCCAGGTAAGAGCCGCGCGTGCCCGGACAGGTGAGCTGAATTCCAGACGCTCCTCAGCACATCACCTGACTGACCCAGAGGACACCAGCACAGCTCACAGCGCTGATGGGGCTGGGCTATTGAACACAATGTCTGGTCATATGTAGACAGAAAATGCTCATTTATTGTTTTAAAGGTGTCATTTATTATGGGTTATTATGGGTTTATTCAGGGTTGAACCGTCTCATTTACACTGAATTGATGCAGTTACACGCTGTTTCTGTCCATATTTGTGAGTTAATTTTATTAATTAAATTTAAATGAGACTTTTTAACCCAAAATAAATGACACTTTTAAAAATATCTATATGTTTGTGTTTGACAAAATGCCAAGACTAAACAGATGTCAGCGTCCTTCAGATTGTTATTTAGTCCAATAATAGCTCATATAAGTGGTCTTCCCGGTTTAGGATTGTTTTCTCTGCATGACTCTGCCTCTGGGTTTGAGCACTCTCACTAACGCTGGGTTGTTTTAAAACTATTTTGGTCAAATGCAGAAAAACTGGGTTCAAGGGTGCAATTTTAAATATTAATTATGTAAATGTATTCTAATGAGGAGATCGCAGTTTTGATATTGAAAAATAAACGTTCTGACTTTATAACGTGGATAATACGACTTCATTTCCTGAAAATCTGACTGTAACTTGCAATTTAGTGTTTACATCCCTCAGTTCTGAGAAGAAAGTCAGAGCTGTGAGTTTGTCATTGTAACCCCGCCGGTCCTACACCACCCAACCCGCTCCGAGGTGGGATCGAACCGGCAACCTTCCGCATGGAAGTCAGTTGCTCTAACAAGGAGGCTTAAGACCATGGCCTCTGGCGTTTGTCTCTAGTGCACCTTTAGAGGTCAGAGGAGTGAAGTTTACCTGCACAGCCTGCACTAGCTGGCCTCCGTTACATCATGCTATTTTGAGATAAAAAGCCCAAATCCCCTTTTATTTTTATTGATAAGTGGGAACAGTGAAGTCAAAACAAAACAGTCCCCAAACTACAAGATCACCGTGACTGTGTACTGTACTGTGCTGTGAGAACGAGCCCCGTACATCAGCAGGAGGCTTGACTGTGACCACATGTCTGTCTCTGTGTTCTCAGGGGAGATCCAGGGGGCTCGAGGGCTGATGCTGACCGGCATCTTCCTGTGTGGCCTGTCGACGCTGGTGTCTTTCGTGGGCATGAAGTGCACAACCTGCCTTTCAGAAGCGCCACAGGTGAAGAGTAAAGTGGCTCTGGCTGGAGGAGTGCTGTTCATCACTGGAGATAAGCTCATGCTCATTACACTCACTGACGACTGCTGCAAACACACATGACAGCGCTCACAAAAAAACAGGCGGCACGGTGGCGCAGTGGGTAGCACAATCACCTCACAGCAAGAAGGTCTCTGGTTTGAGTCTCGGCTGGGTCAGTTGGTGTTTCTGTGTGGAGTTTGCATGTTCTCCCCGTGTTGGTGTGGGTTTCCTCCGGGTGCTCCGGTTTCAGTCCAAACACATGCGCT